GAAGAAGAAGAAGAAGAAGAAGAAGAAGAAGAAGAAGAAAATACACGATGTTGTAGAAGAAGAAAAAGATGGCCTTGACGGGGGGACTATGTCGCACGGGCGCACTAGTGGGGGGACTCTGTCGCTCGGGCGATGCCTTGACGACGGGCGACAGGCGACGTTGCTGGAGGCGACGACGATGGTAGAGGCGATGATGACAACGACCTTGTCGACGGGCGACAGGCAACGAGTGAGGGAGAGGCCAGACGGGCAACGAGTGAAGTAGGCAGCGGGAGGGCATAGGCGGGAGGGCATAGGCGGGGGGCCATAGGCGGGAGGGCATAGGCGGGAGGGAACGGTAGGCCAAGGAAGGGAGGGAACCGGTAGGCCGTCTTGCAGGGGCTGGGCCGAAGGTTCCCGCCAACATATTTTGAAGACGGCGCCTTATCTGGGCCTCTGATCTAACAAGATCAACAGTTTAGATATGCCACCTTTTTTTTTTTTTTAAACACTTCATATATTCAAATGGAAGAACGAGGCCGGGGACCTCACAATTCTACCCGGGACTGGGAGCATTACCCAGAGTTCGCTTTTAATGGGACCACGACGGACCCGAAAGACCAAGGTACATTCTGCCTGCAACAACTAGCAGAATCCCCTACCTGCTTCGCTGAAAAAAAAACACACCCACTCTGAACACAAAATCAAGAACGCTTCCTTCCTTTATTATCTCGTAAAGAACGGAGAATACCAAAACTTCGAGTACTACAGTATCCACCCCCACTAAGCTCTAACCTACCCTCATCCTGCGGCGAACTTGCTAACCAGAGCTAAAACGGGACTACTACCGGCCCGCCAACAGCCTATCCCAGCTGTACGGAACTCGCGTTCCAGCAACCCGTGACACTATTCAACCCTCCACCCACTGCTGCCTCCTGCGGCGTTAACCGACACTATGTGGGGAAACGAGTGCCCTGGTTTCCGTCCCCTCACCAACTACCTGCCACTTGTATTTACAGCACCAATCCTCCCTGACAACCTACTCGCTAGTCCTTACCGGGCATCACGGGGGAATACATGTTGTCTGATCCTTCACCCAAGGGGAGAGGACCATCCCCTTTGTCCTGTGAACACCTGCCAACTGATGTTTCAACGTCCACGTGTTCAAAAACCAGCGTAGCTGTCGATTGATGTCGTTCCCAGCCTTGGCCCTCTTCCTCCAATCCACCTTAATCGCCTCTCTTAAGCCCTGCCTTACCGCCTTTTTAATCTCCAGGTCAGAAAATGGTCTGCCTTCAAATCTCGCTCTGTTCCTGTCTTTCCAGATGATCTCACAGAGCAGGCCCCTCACCGCCTGGGCTACATATCCCCTTGGGCGGGCCTACCGAACCTTTTCAGGCCACTTGGACGGGCGTACCGGACCTGGTTTGAATTTATTTCAGGCCAGGAGGCCGCCACAGCCTGTGTGAGGGCCTCCTGGCCCGAAACAAATTCAAACCAGCCCCTTACCTGCAATGCGCCACGACCAACCGTGGGCTCTGACTGGGGTGGGGCCCCCGGTCCGACCGGGTTTACAACACTGAACGCTACAACGAAGATTAGCATGGTCCCTGCACAAGGTTGACACACATAAATCAAGATATGGTCCATATTTTTAAAACCAAAAACAAAACAAAACTTTTCTAAAAGGTCGACAGTCATGGGATATCGTAATTAAGAGGACCGACCCTAGGTGATTCATAATGGTTTGTTCATTTAGCAGGATTTAAACTCGGACGTCTATGTCAACAGTTCAGCTAGGCTCTTTTGCGAAATTGATATTCCATCTACCACCCTGTTTCGAGACTTTTCTGAAGCCATAACTTTAGTTGTGGAATGATTGTTTTTTCTAATTAAATATTGTGGTCGTCACTCGCTCCGACCTTTTCGTTGGTCCTAACCTAAGTTACCTAACAA